ATAAAGAACTCATGCAATTTAACAAAAGGAAGACAAACAATCCAATTAAAAAATGGGCAAAGGACCTAAATAGACACTTCCCCTAAAAGGACATACAGATGGCCAAGAGACACATAAAAAAAAAAAAAAAAAAAAAAAAAAAAAATGCTCAAAGCCATTAAAATTGTTTATTTTCAACTTTAGATTTGTGTTTTTGAAAATGTACCCCAAGTCATTTTAAATTTTATGCTGTGAGGTTGATAGATGACTGACAGTTTTAAGAGAAAAACTTATTACAAATAGTGTACGCTGAGAATTAAAAGTCCTCATTTTACTTATTATGCACAAATAGAGTAAAATAAATGTATTAGATTTCTAATGGTGTTATCTCTTCCCCAAAGAAGTAAGGTAGTTAACATTATATACTTTTCTAAAACAATGATCATTCGTGGATTCAAAGAATTACAGGGACTGGAATGGACCTTAAATATTACCTATTTTACCCTACTTTCATCCAGAAACCAAATTCCCAATACAAAAATTCCAACTATGTAGTCAAATGGCTTCTGTTTAGACACCTCCAGCACTGAACACATTACTTCCTGAGGCAGCCCCTTAACTGTTAATATGAGGCAAAATAATTTCTTCCTTAGGTTATGTTGAAATGGTGTTCCTCTACATTTTTCATTTATTGGTCGTAGCTCTCAACTGGGAGCTACCCAGTACAGGTCTAATCCATTTTTCTTATGACAGCACTTCAGGTATTTGGAAAAGGCTAATGGCCACTTCTATCTTGTCTTTTTCAATTTGAATATTCCCAGATTTGTTGTTGTTGCCAATGTTGTTGCTGTTCATCATTTACAGGGCTCCATGACCCCTTCCCATCCTGTGGACACATTCCAGTTGTCAATAGATCTTGTTAAAGTTGGTGCTCAAAATAAATTCAATATTCTAGGTGTATCCTGACCAGCATAAAGCAGGGAAAGATAGAGCTTCCTTCTTTGTGAGTAAAATATTAATGGCACATTAAAGTCATATTGGCTTCTAGATAGTAGCATAATGTGTTAGCCTTACAATGAGCTCGCAGTTGTGCCATGTCTCCCTGTTCTGTACTTGGGAAGTTGGTGTTTCAAATCATGTAAAATGTCATCTATATTACATCCTTAATCCTTTCCACCTGTTATTTTTGGGATTGTGATTTTTGTCACCGAGCGTTTTTGCTCTCTCTCCCAGTTGAAGTCATTTAGTAAAGAGCATGGCTCTGTGTATTCTTGTGACTAATCCTAAATATACTAACTTAGACAGTGCTGGAACATTTTGATTATTGCCCATAAATCTGATTGAAGGATTTTGAAAACAGCAAAGGGAAAATGTGTACACTCTTGTTCTTTAGAATAACCCAATGAGATTAATCAACTCTTATTTATGACCATCAGAAGTTGAAAAGTCAGCTTATATTTTTGCATGCTTATAAATAAAATCAATTTACTTATTTGATTTTTCTGAGTAGATAAACAATTTTATAGTATACATAATTTTGTTTGCTTCAATCAGTTTGTTAATTTCACGGCATCTGGAGGTAGATTACAAAACACACAGTTATTTTATAATTTAATGCAATTAGCTGCTCAATGAGATATTGTGACATTTGAAATGTCATCACCTCCAAGAATATCTAATGGGAACCAGGTGGGCAGTTGCTGGCACCTGGATGCTTTTATGGCACACCTTCATGAAAGCACTGCCTTAAGTAAGAACACATCCTAAATGTAGCTATTTAATGTGAGATCATATAACAGATGGAGAACATATCACACCTTTTGAAGTAGGTGAGAAAGCTGACATAACAGCTCTAACCACATTTTACCAAGATGTATCTGACAACTATGTAGTAAAAATCAGTTCATTTTAAATATAAATTGTATGTTACTCCTGCCATTTGTTTGAATGGTATCACTCATCTGGGGTCCACGCTGAATAAAGGTTTCAAAAATACCTAATTGGTCCAATTTATCTAACCAAGGTAGAAAAATATCACCAGACAACTTTAGCTTTGGCTAGATAATTGTATTATTATTTCCACTTCGAATTTTCTCTTGGTATACAGAAACGATTTTCAACATTTTTCATCTTGTAGTACACAGAAACTAATTACTAAACTTCTGTAGCACACAAAAAACATTTTTTGCTGATCTGAAAAAAAAAAAAAGGTATAATTTTGATTCATTCACACTGGACAACTATTGTTGTGTTGGCTGCTGTCATTTTTTTATTTGACAACCTAAGGGAAAAGAGGTCAGTAACCCTGACTAAATAGTCAGGTATTGCATGTTTTAAAAATTCTTGTGGCACACCACTTGAAAATCATTGGTATACAGTTATTACTTTATAAATACTAATTTGAAAAATTGTAAAAAAAAAATTTAGAAATCAACTGACTCAACTTTATAAGGGAAACACAACCAAATTTTTTTTTTAACAGATTCAAACAATTGTCTTGGTGATTTGGACTTGATTCAAGGTCTACGGAATCTTTAAAGATGATCTCATATAACAAAATAAAATCATAATCTTGATGTAGAATGTTTAAAAACCATGGAATTCTATTTGCATATAGAAAAACCATACATTTATTAACTTTCCAAGTGAGTATAGAACAATAAGTTGATGACTTATCAATCTGCAATAACTAATAAGGCTTCATTATTTGAAACAAGGCAAAAAGGGAACTCCTTTTTTCTGAGTTCCTTTGTCTGCATTCCTCATAGTATGTTTAGCCTAAATAAAGTTTTTGATATAGGCAATCATGTATAAAACTAATAATAAATACTAAAAAAATGCAAAATGTTATCATAAAGATTTGCTTAAAGTTTGAAAAGACTGAAGAACTGTTATTCATGAAATTAGGTTACTTAGAGAACAAGAAAATGAAAATGGGAATACTGGCACTAAATCTATTTTAGTGAAACCCTGGAGCCAAGATTTCAAAAACAAATATATTTAGTTACAACTTTGTTGCATCAGGAAGTCAATCTTCACTTCTACTTGCCAAGCCAGGATCCATAAATTTCAGAATCTGAACCAATTGTCTTGGAGAGACTGTCATGGTAGTGGTGGTGGTAGGGACAAAAAAGTTTCCTCTTAATTTGATCATAGTTTGCAAGGGGGCCAAGAAATCATCTAGTTTATCCCCTCTCAATAAAATGACTCCCTCCATAATTGCCTCCTTAAATGTGCTTCCCAATCTGTGATGATGGGAGCTCACTACTCTTCCAGGCATCTGCTACATTTTATTTTAAACTCTATTACACAATTGGGAATTATAAATTTGTGAACATTCCTCCTACTAGTATTGTTTTAGGCATTGATTACATTTAGGTTATCAAGGAAATAATAAAGAGAACCAGTTAAAGTAAACTGTGATTTCAAGGTTAAAATGAACCTGGTAAAAATAGATTTAAAACCAGAATTCTGGACTTCTATAATAATTTTAATGTAAAATATTTTTCCTAACTAGGCCAGTAGAATTTTATTTTCTCCCACACCATATTATGAATGAAACACATTGTGCACTTTTGTTCTGAATTTAAATTGAGTAATCCAGTATTTTATTAATGTTATTCTTGATTTTTTAATATATTTATTTTATGTACTTATTTATTCAGTGCTTTTAAAATAATTTGCGTATACATACATGTACATGCATACACATGCACATTTGTCCCCCTGCAAATTAGGTGACCTTGGAAAAATGCCTTCAAGCCCAGTAGACAGCTAATATATTTCAAAAACATATGTTAATTTCTTTCAACCAGTTGCCAAGGTCTGGCAAATTCACCCTTAAGGCATCCCAGAGAGGAAAATGTATTAATGACTTCAATAAAATCAACTGAAACAGAATTCTTCATCAGATAGTCTTCTTATCTTGTTGTTATTGTCAGTATTGTATACTTCAGATGTCATATGATGTCATTCTGCAGTATCTCAAGTATCACTTGCTGGTGATAATTACATCGCAAGAACACCACAAATATGATTGTGAAAGTAACCCTTCCCCCAACATAGTTATTTCAATTTCAATGTCTACTTATCAAGTTTTCTGAAAGAAACTCACTGAACAACATAGGTATTTTTTCCTGTTTATTATATAGTTATTCTAAGGTGGTGTCACAACTTTGAGAGGAATAACATGATCCAGTGTGAAACACAAGGTACAATGTTATAAAAGGAAGCCACAGCACAAAGTGATGGAACTTTCAAAATTGGGTAGTTCAATGAAATGTTTCATTATTTACCTCTGTAAAACTCTGCTGATGGCCTCAATTGGTGGATTTTTAAAATATTTAATACAAAATGTTCTAAGAGAATAAACATCCAAGCAAGTCAAACTGTAAATAGAAAGTATGTCAACCATTTTATAAAAATTGTATCTAAATTTACAGCATTCATGGTGTATTTTGAAGTTAAATGTCCATAGAAGAAATAAATTCAGTGCCTTGTCATTGATGAATATGAACTCAAAAAACAGATCACAGAAAAGCTGACTTCCATAGTTCTTTGCCTATGACCTTTCAGACCTACTATCCTGGCTTTAAGGACATTTTATGGCCATATATAATACAAACATTCCTGTATTACACGCATCATTTATACTATCTTGGGAATTATTCATCATCTTTACTAAAGTGAACCACATTTTAAAGACACTATATGTCATGCACCCATAAAAATTATAGCTAGGCCCTCAGATTTCCTATCTTTTCCACATGCATTACAGGCATAAAATTACAAATAATTTTTAGATGACAGTATAACAAACTGCATCAAGCAATTGGTATATTGAATTAAATACATCTCTAATTTTCACACTATACTTCTGCAGGATATATCAGTCAAATACAGTTGTCACTAACATGCACAATTAGAGATGCTAGTAAGGCTAGTGAAAATATGCATAAGTAGGCAAAGGCATGCATATATAGTAAATTCATTCAATTAACATTTTTACATGTGTATATATTTATATAGATATATACACACATATAGCAAGTTAGGCTGTTTTTGCAAGTATAGTAAGGTTACTACTGAAAATACGTCAACAGTTTAGAATAGTGTTTTGAAAGAACATACAAAATTGCCTTATAAGTTATCTGGGTTTGTTATTAAACTTAGTTTAAATTGAATATAGTTTGGATTCTCTTATATTTATGTTTCAACATAACACTCATCTACTCACAAATCTATAAAACAATATTTAATTTTTAGTGAATATTGATTGACAATCATTACATGTCATCAATACATACCCATTAGAGAAATATCTGTGATAGTATTCATTTTAATAATTGAATATCAAGACATAACAATATAAATATTAATGTGTGCTTATATTTAACAGTTAACACAAACTGGATTTTTCTAAATTTCAATTTTTTTGTGTGTTATCAGGATTTCAATTTAGAAGAAATTACTACATCTGACTATTTGGAATTGTTTTACCATACAAATTTAGCAAACTACTTTTGAACTTAAACATGCTCTAAATAATATGCCACATGTAATAATGTATGACATGAAGGTTTTACATATAATTCCACAAGAGCCAGTAACTTAGAACACTGTGTCACAAATACTATGTGTTACTGTTTATGGCATATATATATATACACACACACACACACACACACACACACACACAAATACTTATATAAGCACAACCATATACACACTGAGCCCTGTAAATTTACATTAACACCCACATACCTGTATAGATATAAGGCCACATATAAAAAAATTAACAGTCCAATGGCTAAAATATATAGAATTATTTTTCAGGAATATTATTCTATATTTTCATTCATTTGTATTAAGAAACGTGGCTCTTAGGCTTCATTGTTTTTTTAATTTTTTTAAAAAGAGCCCAATCATGTATACATCTTCAGTGGATATTATCCCTCCTGAGTAACGTAGGGAACACATATAGTATATAAATGCTGGTTCAAAATGTTTCTAGAAAATCTTATTTGATTTTTTAATATTTAGATGAGCCAATATATAAACACAGGTATGTGTACAGATGGGTGGACCTTACACTTTTTAAAAGCCTATGACAGTATAGAAACATTGTGGATGCTCCCCCCCTCCCCCCTTAACTGATTAAGCAAGACAAAGAAGAAACAAGCCACATGGTTTTCAGAACCAGTCCTTTGAATTCACACTGAATTTTATACTTGATATATTATTGGGTTTTGCATTTCTAAAATACTGAAAGCAGGGAAATATTTATTATATTCTTTTCTATGATGTCTAAGAAAAAATAGTGAGTGCAAATGAAAAACTACCAAATTTTGAACTAGAGCCTTTAGCACATTTAAAGTTTACCATAAGGACAAAAATGCATGTTTTTGCTGGAGTTTTCTCCTGTTCAGTAGAACAAGTTTAAAATTCAGTGTCTATTTTTTTAATAAAAGAATTCTATATGTAAGTAAATTTTAATTGCCTATAAATCATCAATTTGGTTCTACTGATGAACTAAAAACTTCTGGTTTGCTCCTAAGAATATTTTTTACTTATTTCTGCTTTAGTATAATAGAATTATGCTCCGCATAAAAGAGATCTCAAAGTCTATAAATGGTGTGCTGTTTCAATCTCTAAGGGACTTCAGTTTCAAAAAGTAAATGATAAACATTGCTGCTGAACAGTCCTTTAATAAAAGTCATATGTTGAAAAGATTAAATGCCCTAGAACAGCATTTCCCTTGGAACTGCTTGAATGGAAAGTTGGCCATGATATCGTCAGTTAGTACAAGTCCAGTTTATTTTTATTTTTTGTTTTTTTGCCATGTCTAAACAAGGTCATGGACTTCATATCAGTTGGTAATATCTGCCACTTATCCAGGACAAATAACATTTATTGGACCTTTCTAAGCAGTAGTTGTCCATAAGATTGACAGTGCAAGGAAGTTAAAATTATTGGAATTTATTTTTGTTCTGGACCATCTGACGCCACCAGATTTAGTTAACTGCTCCACTGCCGTCTTTGCATTTTGGACAGTTCAGTTAAATACATACTAATCTTTTGTGGACTCAACTATATTAAGTAATGCTTTTTACAAAGACATAACTAGAACAGACACCAGCAGAGGCAACTTCACAGATGTTTACTGTTTCAGCTAAAACAAAGCAGCCTTTTGATCTCAGCAGGAGTCTCTGTTCCTTTCTGTTGGAAGCAGTTTTATAACATGAAGTCTGGAACAGGTATTATTATGAACTCTTCTTTCAAGATGGAATGGTTCAGTTTGTGGTTCTCCAATAACCTGCCAGAGAAGTGTCTTTCTCTCCAATAGACAGGATAATGAGGCACTAATTATTATAAGGCTAAGTTTTCAAATGCCGTTGGATTGCCTGGACTTTTCTTTCTTTTTTTCTTTTCTCTTCTTTTTTTTTTTGTTGGAATATTTTATTCACTTGGAAAGTGAAATGGTAACATATGTAACTATAAACCAGATGGTAAAATTTGATAGTTGTGCAATTTATCAAGGAGTTAAATTAGTAACATTTTAAACAGTATAAGACAACTGAATTTCTCTCCATCTTGAATAAAACATTTTGTTTTAAAATTCATTTTCAAGTAAATTTGGGGGGGAGGAATCAAATAAAAGCCTCCAAATGGCATCATACATTTTTAATTTATCACCTACTGAGATATGTCAAGGCTGTAGAATATTAAAACCATGCTTCACAAGTCTTAAATTGTTAGTGGTTAGCAAAACTAAATGATCACTAGGATATGGCTTAAATACAACAGACCATAAACATTAAATTACTTTAACATTCAGATTTAAAAATAATTATTTTATGTTTAAGAAAAGCTGACCATAATTTTTAAAGAGAAGACTAGAAGAGCAGAATTAGCAGGTTAATGTTAACAATGAGTTATAATCATAGACTTACTTGGTTTAACACAAAAGGAGTTTTGCATATGAAAATTTCCAAGACACTAGCAAGATCCAGGATTTATTAGAATGGAGGTTTGCATATTTGGGGTCTGCTAAAAGAATTTTGCTTTTCAAATTGATTTTTTGGAAGAAGTCCAGATACAATTTTTTTGTGTCTGTTGTGTTAAAAACAAAGTTTCCTAGCTTCAGGCTTTACAAACTTGAAAAATTACATATATGGTTGTGAGAGGAATTATATAATTTATAGTTCTTCATGTTAGTGTTTAGTTTCAGCTATATTTAAACTGTTTAAAATAAAATAATTTTAAAAATTAAATTTGCTCAACAACAAAAACAAGGAAATTTTCTAATGCATAATGTTAAAGTCTTCACAAGATGCGTCCTTGATATGGGTGTTGTCCCTCAATTATATTAACCCACAAAACGATAAGTAGCTTCATCTACTGACTAGGAAGAAAAAATCTACCTGACCACTTTTATTATTTTGCAATAAAAGTACCTTTAAAAATCAGCAATCTAAATTTTAAAAAGAATTTAACTTTTTTAAAAGAAAAAATATATTTTACTGCCATTTTAATCTGCTTGACCAAGCATACAGAAAAATTGTATCTGTCTACTTGTGATTAAAATAAAAACTCCAGCTACAGACATTATGACTCTGTATCGCTATGTGATTAGCATATTCTTATACTCAATATTGAGTCCATATTTGAAATTCACCTGGAGCCAGGCCTTGCATAAAAACCTCAGCAATGGAGCGAGTTTGTGTTCAACATCCCCCAACTAATGTAGGAGATATAAAAAGAAAAATTCCTTCAAGGATTAACATCTCGAATATAAAATGCCTGTATATTTACTCTTATATGACTTCGGCTTCACAATTTCAAAGTATGCAAAACTCTTTTGTGTATTTTGCTGTTAGACTTTTGCTTAAAAATATGTAACCTTCACCCAATCACAAACCATACACATTGCGCCATTGTCTCTTTTACACTGAGTCTCCCACTGAATCCAAATCATCTGAAGAGAGGGGGCGGTACAGGTCCTGTAAGATGAAGGGCAGTATAGATTTGTTTACTTGGATTTCATCAGTGCCCTGTGGCTCTTAGGAGTGGAGCAACACTGAATGAGCACACTTGGTGCCTAATGTCATTCGACCTTTTAGAGTGACCAAATTTAGATAAGAGGAAAGATAATAGTTGAGAAACCATCTAAATAAACAGAATGGTGCTCATTTGCCTTGTTGACTTGATCTGCTCATGAATTTTCACCTTCTTTCATATCCAGTTATGTTTTACAGCCCCTGAGGTCTGTCAGTGCCAACCCTGGTTCTATGTATCTAGGCAATTCTTCCTTGAACATCTACTTCCCATTTTGGGTAGAAAAGGAATATGCTTACTCTACAAAATAATTTATTAGGAGCCCCAGCTGGCATTCAGCAAATTCTGGTCCCAGACCAGCAACTCAAGTGTTGCATTTGCATATCACATAAACCCAATAAACATTGCCTTTTCAAATTTTATGTTTGAAAGACAGAATGAATGCCAACTTGGCTCACCCCTCCAATATTCTTTCCCAGTTCCCCAGCCACTCACCTATCACCTCTCCTTTTCTCACCTCCACTCCTTTCTGCCATGAGATCTCTCTTTATTGGTAGCCAGGCAACCAGTGCAGATCTGCAGTGTCTAGAATCCTGGCTTCTTTCCTATTTTGTACCACCCACTCCTCACATCATCTGAGTGATCAGATAATCTACAAAAGTCAGCAATGTGGGAGTATAATGGGAAGCTTCATTCAACCTACACAGCACATTTCTTTCTGATATATTAAAAAATGGGACCCAAAAAAGTTCATGGATGGAAAAGATCCTCAATGATTTGCTTCTGTGATCAGTCAAATGCTTCTAGACATCAATTTAAATAACTATTTTATAAAAACGGGGAGGTTGCTTGGTACATTGCCACCAATATTTTTGTAAAGAAAAATATCTGGCATGTGGACTGTTATTGTATATAACTATTCTAAAATAACAAGAGAAATAACATAAAAATATTATTTTAAAGGAAGGAAAAAACTGATCAGATTATCATAATATGAATGAAAATACAGATTTTCTTATTTGTGAAGAAAATGGTCAAATGTCTCAATATTTATTTAAAAAAACCCAGTATTTCTGTCTCTCTCTCTCTCCTTTCCTCTCTCTGAAATCAATAAAGATATATTTAAAAAAAAAAAAAAGCCTGGCCGGGTGTGGCTCAGCCGTTAAGCATCGACCTGGGATCCAGGCGATCAGGGTTCGATTCCTGGTCAGGGCACATGCCCGGGTTGCGGGCTGCAGCCGATCAATGACTCTCTCATCATTGATGTTTCTATCTCTCTCCCTCTCCTTTCCTCTCTCTGAAATCAATAAAGATATACTTTAAATAAGTAAATAAATAAAAAACCAAAAAAAACAGTATTTCTTTAAAAAAACAACTTACGTTCCTGGGTTTTGTTTTTTGTTTTAATATATTTTTATTATTTTCAAAGAGAGGAAGGGAGAGGGAGAGAGAGAGATAGAAACATCAATGATGAGAGAGTCACTGAGCAGCCGCCTCCTGGGGATGAGACCACAACCTGGGCATGTGCAGTGACGGAATTGAACAGAGATCCCCTGGTTCATGAGTGGACACTCAACCAATGAGCCACGCCAGCTGGGCATGTTCCTGTGTTTTAAAACCAGGTAGGAAGTGTGAGTATATGTCTGTGTCTGTGTGTGTGTTTGGGAGACAGCCAAGTTTTCCTGGCCATGTTGCTAGGCAACAGAGAAGGAAAAATAGAAGTAGCTTCTGCTTTCCAGTTTGCAAAAAAAGAGTTAATTTATTCATTGAAATGTCTTCTTTTAGCACTTGCCATCTTTCACTTATTTCAGTATTTCCTGCATAGGAGTACAGCCAACCATCTGAGAAGAACATTAACCAAATTTGAAACAGGATCAGTTTTTAGGGATATTAGAGGCCCATTTTAACTGAGAGGGGTTATCTGATGCAGTTGACTCCACATCCAGATGAAAGCTTCTCTTGCTAGAGCAACTGGAAATGTACCCATCCACTGACATGGTACATGAATGGAGGACGTTCATTTATGGCCTAAATTCAAAAGCCTGGAAACTGAGCTAACTCTGAATTATTCAGTTCTCTGTGAACAATATGTGCATATTAAATGTTTTCAGATGATGATAAACCTTTTATCTCTAAAACAAGTGAGATTTGTTTTTCCCTCTCAGGTATGGTTCTTGCATTATTAGTTGAAATGCCAAAATGAAGACAACCATCCCCTGTAATCAGTTTCCAAGTGCTGACAATGTTAATTATATAAACTGTTGGCCACAAGCTGTTAGCAACTGCATGAAATCTTCTGTCTCAGTTGGACAAAATAATAGTAATGTAGAGAATGCAGAGAGCAAAGTAAATTCAAGCCTCATTCTGCAAACAAAGGGATGGTTAAGCAAAGAGCTTTATGTCCCCAGTAAGCAAGCAGGGAGAGAAAATCAGATCTATGGCAGAGATTCTCAATCATTCTAATGTAATCTCAAACACTAAGCATGAACATCCTGAATCTGAGTTTAATAAGTTCAAAGGATGAAGAGGAATTTTTATGCCAGGTGTACTCTCCAAAGTATACACTTCAAAAGAGAGACTGTTCTATGAAAGAGGGCCCTTTCTGTGCTATATCTAATGGTTGTTCCTATTGATGGGGACCTAGCTGGGTAATATTTACAAAAAAAAAAAAAAATCACCTTACTACTCCTTCCTCCACTCAAGCATAGACATTTAACAGGTTAAATTAATTTGGCCAATTCTTTTCAGTAGCTCACTAATGATTCCTGTACTTTAAAATGCCAAATTAGACTGTGGCCAAGAAGAAAACCATACTGAAAACACTTGGAAGGAACTGAAATAGAATTATTGGGTTTTCTATCTGGGAAGAGCCTGCCTCTCTCTCTCTCTCTCTCTATCTCCTTTTTTTTTTTTTTCCCAACTGAAGCCCAGGATAACACAGCTATTTAGTGAAGGACCTGGTGCCAAACCCCAGGCCTCATCAAATAATCTAAACAAGCCAAACCTGATACCAGGAGCATCAGTAGAGAAAGGCAATACAACCTGATATTTGGTGACACAGGCTTCAAAGGGTCTAGGGACTGATTGATTCCACTGCCTTCACTTTAGACAGTGCTGTGTGAACACAACCTTGGAGGAAGTTTGAACAGAGGAGCTTCCATCTTGGTTATAGTTTAAATTTACGGAACTTAAAAGTCTCATTTTAAAACACTTAATAGAGGCTAAATTCAAGAGTCTAGTCTTTGATGTCGAAAGACTCCAACAAGCCCTTGCTTATTAAAATATTCAGTGAGCATGATGATAAAACTTCCTAAGCGCCTGTGTTCCTCCCACCTTGCTTGTGAAATCAGAACAATGAAAAGCCTTCCATTTCCTCCACTGCACCTTCCCCCTCCTCCCCTTCTCACTCTTTTTGGTCTTGCCTTGGTTTTACTGGAAAAGACAAACAGTGCAGGTCATAAAGCAGAAGTGGGGAAACTTTTTCCTACCAAGGGCCATTTGGATATTTATAATATCATTCTCGGGCCATTCAAAATTATTAACTTAAAAATTAGCTATGAAAAAAAGCTACTAGACTTAATGAGTTTTGAGTCCTGCCTGTGCTTGCCTTGGCAGGGCCAGGCCAAATGATTTCAAGGGCTGGACATTCCCCACCCTGTTGTAAAGGGATAAAAACAGTAGTTCTTCCATTCCCCTTCCTTATCATGGAGAAGCTAACATTGTTTTCAGCAACTTTTAAACTTTGGTATCCAAGCCAAGTAACTTCTCCATCATTACATAAGAAGCTAAAAATTAAACTCAGGTAGTGAAGAAAAACAAGGTGCTCGATGTGAGTTTCATACACAAAAACACATGTCATATGGACCCACCCCTTTCTCCATGGACCCTAAGCCACTCTGGAACACCATTCTATTCCATAAAGAAACTCCTGACCCTGGCCCATCCCTCCATTAACAATGGCACTTCTCCTCCTTCCTAAGGAAGGCTGATTGATGATCAATGATGATGTCTAATGAAGCTTGTTAAACTAAGGAAGCTTAAAAGTCAGTGCCAGTAAAGTCTTCGTAATTCAGGACAAAAAGAGTAGGGTGTTAAAAAGTGAAGCAATTGTTTATCCTCAGAGTTAAGGTTTAGACAGGTTCACAGAGAAAGTAAAAGCACTAAGTTCTAGCTAAGAGAAAATATGGCCATAACAACTGACCCACCTTTTGTCATATCCTGCCCTTGCTTGCCTGGTTATTACTTAGAGACGAAAGTGCTATTATGAGAGAGCTATTTGCTGGACCCATGCCATTCTGGACCAAGGTACATACAGATCTGAAGCAAGGAGCTTGTTTATTTCCTTACCCTCTGCTTCCGCAGGCTTCCTGGGCTGGTGGGTGATGGACTTGGGGACTTGCCAGAGCGTGGAGTGGAGAGCTGACTACCAGGGGTTCCATTAACTAGAAGTACAAAGAATCACAGAAGGGAAAATGTCATGTTAAAGAAGTTTCATGACAAATCAAAGTCTCTGAGAAATAAATAGTTATAGAGGAACATTGGCTAAAATTCCAGATATCTTTTTATCTGTGGTCCTGAAAAAAACCTTTAGGAAATAACCTTCTTCAGAAATTCACTGTTTTGTTAATCCAGTGCTTAATAAAGCAGCAGGTTACATAAAATTTTTTAAAATATACTTTTCACAACTTTCCTGATGAGTTTATTAATGATGTCTTTAACTGTGCCGATAGAAATTTGGGGAATGTGGTTAAAGCCCTGGGGCATTTTTAGTGGGATTCATCCTTAATTCTTTAGCTTCCCCGTACCACCCAGTAGGAGTCAATATTAACACAGTTCTCAAGTGATATTCTCAGTGACTTATTAAATTAAATCACTGAATTTTTATCTTTAACAACTCACTTCTAGAAGCTCCTGTATCCACTTCTGCCCTTTACATCTCCCTCATCTAAACTCTTAAAGGACCTGCCTTTAACAAGACAAAGTAATTGGCACAGACACTCAGGATCTCCTCACTGATTGTCCAGTCCTTACCACTGTTGAAAAATAAAAGCTGCTTTCTAAAAGATTTAAATCACTAGAATTTTACCTGATTATTAAGACTTATACAACATTATCACTAAACTGAATCAAAGCCACAGAACTCAAGTAAGCAATTATTTTCTCTGAGTAACATTAAAAAACACTTAAAGATATACTTTATAAAGATATATAAGGTCACCATTATTTTACCCATAAAAATGACAACATTTTTACATGTTTTACATACACAGGCAGTGAAGTAGAAGTAGCAATGAGACACACACGTTCTTGAGGGTGCATAATAAACATTTTCCAAAAGGGAGAGCAATGATGCATTTAACTTACCTTCTATAAGTTCTAACATGGACACAGTCTTAGTGTTTGACCTGACAATAGCAAGAGGCAAATCTCTTCTCAGCACTAAGCTGAGCACCCGGGGAAATGGGAAGCAGTTGGATTAGTTAAGGATGGCTAAGGCTGCTATTCCCAGAGCAGGTTGAATGAGATGCAGGATTCATTAGCAGATGCTTTTTTTGCGTAAGGCTGACGTCTTCCAAGCAGCAGTGGGAGGTGCGGGTTCTATCTCAGGCTATATCAAAAGAGTCAATTAAGCCTCATGCCAACGCAAGAGCCACTGCAACCCCCTCCTGGACACCACTAACTTCCTGAAGCCTGGAAGCCAGAGCGCTTTTTCAGTACTTTGCACTGAGTCATAACAAAGTGCCTCTGAGGGAGCAAGAAGCCCAATGACTCATCTGATAATCAAAATGACAGTAAATCCTCTAAAGCCTGGCGATACCAAGTACTAAGTACATCCTTAGAAAATTTAGTGGTAAGGTATGATGTTTATTGATTTTTCATACACAATGTTTGCACAAAATCTTTGGGCTCAGGAAAGTGGGAGGCTGTTTGTTTTGTCATCTCCAATGACCTTTAAAAAATGTCATATAACCTACACTGCACTAATTTGTAGTTTTGCCTTTAAAATGCATTTAGTGATTCAAAAAAAGACAACTTTTTTTCTTCTTTTTTTGGCAGCTTGAGAGCATTGCATAAGAGTTAATTTGATTGCTCGCTACAGTCCTGTCTTTACTGAACTTGATGCTCAGGCCTCTTTGCACTGGACTTCCCAGCTAGTGGCCTCTACAGGAAGGGCTCCAAAACAGAGAAGGACTAAAGAGCTGTGAGCAACTATACACCAATAAGCAAAAGATCCCTAGGAGTTAACTGGAAAACAGGTTTTATGATGTAATATTTCCTTTGCCCACTTCTGCACTTTTCGTTGCACCTAAAGGGTACACAGATCGGGGGAAAATGAGCAAATGAGGAGCAAACATAGTATTGACATTTAAAAATTTTGGGACTCTAATTTTATCAAGCCAATGAGTGGTGTGAGTGGGGGGAAGAAAGTTGCCCCAGGAAAATAGCATTAGGAATACCTTGTTTAAAAAAGAAAAATAAGGGAGAAACAAGATGGCGGCATAGGTAACGGCTGCAGCCGCCTCCTCCCACAACCACATCAAAATTACAACTAAAATACAGAACCACCATCACTCAGAACATCCTGAAATCTAGCTGAACAGAAGCCCTACAACCAGGGAACTGAAGCAGCACCAAGAGCGATAGGAAGGACAGAGATGCAGGCGGATTGGGGCTGAATCAGAGACGCGGCCATGGGCCCACACCCGGTGCCATGGTTGAAACCCAGAAGGGAATCTCGGCAGCTGAGGTTTCCTGGAGGAGGGAGGGGTCCCAGCCCCACAGCAGGCCCCCAGCCCAGGGCTCCAGGCCAGGAAGAGAGGTCCCCATAACTCCAGGCTGTGAAACCAGCAGGAGCTGTCCCTGAGGGTTGCAGAGGATGTGGGAGCCCCAGCAGCTCCTCTTCAAGGGCGGGCGCACGGACTCACTCAGATGCGCTCCCTCTGAGCCCAGCACCGGGCAGCAGCTTGAAAGGATCTGGGACACTTGGGGAGAAACTAACCTGCCTCAGATCCGGGTGAGGGGTGGAGGAGCAGCTTTCTCCCAGGCAGAAGGGCTGGCAGAGGCCCCGGCTCTTTTGGCGAATCCTCTCCTCACACACCAGCAGGCAGGTGCCATATTTGAATATCCAGCACCTGACTCACACCTTTGGCCCCACCCCATGATTCCTGGAGACCCCGCCCCTCCCCACCTGCAGCTCATCCAGGCCATTTTTAGGGGCTTTTCTATGCAAGTGGCCTCTCGAACCTCATGCTTAGGACTTTTCTAAAATATCTCAAAAAAGCAACAGCGTGCCCCATACAGCTTGATAAGTGGCCCCAGGCCTGGCACTAGTGGCAGCCTGCATTGGCTCATAGCTTGGCCTGTCCTGGACACCTCCAAGCCCAGCACAAGTAGCAGCCAACTACGGTTTGCTGTGTAGCTCATGCTGGGTGGCCCTGAGCAAGGCACTGGCACAGGCTAACTTTTTACCTCCCAGGAGGCCCCAGAGACAGTGCACCTGGGGCTCAGACTCAACCACACTGGATTATAACCCTACCACATCCATGAATGACACTCAAGGGATGCACTTGGTGAACACCAAAGCTCCACTGAAGTAAATCCTGATCCATAAGGGTGTCTCCAGCTCTGCAGCTGGTCCTCACAGCTAATTGGCCTGGGGGTCAACTCCTTCCATTGATGCCAACAGCAACCAAGGCTCAACTACAACAGGACAGTGCACACAGCCCACACAGGGGAGCACCCAGAAGGCCCAGCTCAGGTGACTGGGGAGTCTGAGCCACTGGACCCTACAGGGCACGTACTACACAAAGCCACTCTACAAATTTCAGGAGATATAGCAGCTCTACCAAATACATAGAAACAAACACCTGGAAGCAGCCAAAATGTGGAGGCAAAGAAACATGTCACAGAGGAAAGAAAAGACTAAATCTCTAGAAGAGGAACTAAATGAAATAGATCCAAGCAAGCTAACAGATAGAGAGTTCAGAATAATGGTTATAAGGATGTTTAAGCAGACTGTTAGGGAAATAACTGAGAAAATCGATAACATAATAAAGTACCAATTTGAAATGAAGGCTACAGGAACTGAAATGAAGAATAATTTACATGGAATCAACAGTAGAGTAGAGGACGCTGAGAATCAAATCAGCAATTTGGAACATGAAACAAAAAACACCCAACCAGAAGAGCAAAAAGAAAAAAGAATCCAGAAATATGAAGATAGCATAAGGAGCCTCTGGGACAATTTCAAGAGGCCCAACATTCATATTATTGGGGTCAGAGGGGAAGAGAGCAAGAAATTGAAAACCTATTTGAAAAAATAATTACAGAAAACTTCCCCTACCTGGGGAAAGAAATCAACTTACAAGTCCAGGAAGCACAGAGAGTCCCAAAGAAGAGAC